CTTGATCAGAGATTAGGTATTTGCTATTTTATTGGTTGATAATCTGTTATTACGGTATTCCTCCGCCTTACGAGAGGGTTTTTTATGAATAAATGCCTGGAAAAAAAAAGAGAGAGAGAGAGAGAGAGACTAATATGAGTAAAAATTTGCCCAAATAATCAAATATTAAGTAGATTTAAAAGCGTGAAAAGTATACAAAACGCATTTAGCAACACCAGAACTTATGATTTACTAGTCCCGAGCAAAACTATCTACTCAACTGATATATAAGCATGCGAATACTAAAGACTCATTTCGTTAAATAACTTGACATGAAGACTTCACAATTCGAGATTGAGCAATTAATAATAAGCATCCAAATATTGCTATCAAAATATTTTTTAACTTATTATATGCTTGATCGGTGTGTGCACGAATATTCAATCATCAATTAAATCCTTTATTTCCTTAGCCCAGGTCAATTTGTACACAATGACTTCACGTTTTATAATCAATAGTACAAATATGAATAAAACCTACATTCTATTCACAAAACTAATAGTTGTGGTATGATGGCTCTCACAGAACGATCTGCAAATGAGATAATCCAACAATGTACATATATAGATTGAATTATATGGTCACCATCTATATGAACATGATATATTTCACAGAAAGTTGTGTTGCTGCATGCAGGGACAAATTGGGCGTTGGAAGTGTTCCATTACCAGATATTTCAAATTCTAAATTTGGTTAAAGACTACCAAATATTTCAAGTCGGTTTGGGTCGGTTTAGTTTGGTTAGTCGGTTTGGATATTGATCCAGATAAGAAAAAATTTACCTATTTTGGATTTAAAAAATTCATTTTTTCTTGCCAATGTGTATCAATAATATATATGATAAATGATTGATTTAGCAGGTTTGATCAATTAACTGATGGGTTGATTGTTTAAACCATAACCAACATGACCCAACTTTTTCATGGTTAAAATTAATTGAGCCAAACTAATTTCTTGGTTCAAACCAACTCGAATCTTGTTGGTTTGATCGATTTTTTTTGTCCACCCCTATCCAAAAACTATAGTTAATGGCTTGATTGCAATCTACTACATAACACGGAAAATCAAGTGTAAGAATCCATCCAAGTCCAATCCGTTGGGCCCATCGTCATTTTGAATCATACTCCTACATTACCTCCATTTCATTCATCCGAGCCACTAAGAATTGTCACCAAGTAAAATTAGATGATTGAGAGCAAAAAATTGACTAGGGTTTCTAATTCCATTCGCTTTCTTATAGCATGTTTAAGCCCCATTTTTTGTCTAAAATCTATTTTGAAATAATAGATTGATGGAAGGTGTGGTGTGGTTAAAAATGAAGAAAATTTTTTTGGGTTGTGTGTAATATTAATTTATTGAAAATTGTATTGTTGAAAAGGAGAGTGAAAAATGTATTTTAAGAAAATGAAGATGTCTTAATTTCATGAAATAATTATAGATATCCCAAGTCTATGGGCATTTCAGTCTTTTAATTGTTACAGGACAAGTGTCTCTTCACTGTTGAAGGACTTAAAATATAGTTCTATCTTTGACACGTGGCACTCACTTATAGATCGTTTTCACAAAATTCTTTAGATCACATTTCTCGCGAGTATCACCCATGAAAAATAACGATTCCCAAGATTCTTTAAGCAGAGATGAATGTGGCAAGTTCATGGGTTCGTTTTTACTATCTCCAGAAAAGTGGTCTTGTAGCTTGTGAAGCGATTTTCAGTAAAGCTTAATTCATCCTTATTTTGTAGCCATGTCGGTTGATTAATCACGCGGGCTTCATCATTTGTGCGAGGATTTAACCAAGTGTCCGTGTCCGTGTCAAAGTGGGTTTGTCTTGTACCTCTGGTAACAAATTTAACCCTTATTTTTAAAATACATTTTTCTCTTATTTTTAATCACATTTTTCAATAAAATAATACTACATATAAATTCAAAAACTTTTCTTATTTTTTAACCACATTATCTATGAAATCACTATTTTAAAATACATTTTTGGCTGAAACAAGCATTTAATAAAAATAATAATAATTTAGTTTGTTATTATAGCCAAATGAAATAGTACACGTTTTCTTTGTTCATTTATATTTGTTCTAAATGAGCTGTACATATAGGGGCAAATTGATGAATTTTTCACGTGGGGCGGCTCTTTGCAAATTGCTTTTCTTTCAATTAAGAATGATGCTGTTCTCGTCGGCACGCAAAACTCTAAACCCGTGCCTATTTGGTCTTCTTCATCAATTTTTACATAATACTTTTGGACAACAATGTTTTATATATATTTATTTATTATTTTTTTAATTTTTATTTGGAATAACTTTGTAAAACCTACATACGCATAAGCGTGTTAGTTGAGCTTAGAAAATTTAGTCTTAATTTACATTTTAAGATGGGTAGAATAAATGCATTTGTGAAGATGGTGTTTGATCGTGGGCAGAGACGGATCCAGAACTGGACTATAGGGGGATAATACGTAAAAAAAATAAAAAAATTACACATGAATTTTTTTTTACATAATTTTTTTTTTCCTAAGTAAAACAAAAAAAAATTTGGGTGAGCGGGGGGGTTGAGGGGACTACAGCCCCCCCTAAATCCGTCCCTGATCGTGGGTGCAATCGGAAGTTGACGAGGACGGTGGATTGAGCTTGGTTTAGGGTTTAGGTACATGTTAATATGCATTTATTTATTTTAAGTAATAAATTTATTCATTTAAAGAGAAGTATAGATCTATTATTTAATGACGGAAATGGAGGGAATAACGAAGTAATTAGAAGTTTGTGATGAATTATAGCTAAAAATATTTACGATAAATTTATTATATTTTGCAGAGATCGAGGACAATAGTGCAAATTTTCCTATATTTAATATTTATAATTATTTACTTTTGAATTATTTACAAACTTGGGGTCCATTATATATTTGAAGGCGACTATCACGTGCTTAAAAGTTAAACTAATTAGAAGCAAAGCACTGAGATATTGGCAAGTCTTTGTCCTCCACCATATATATTCTTCTTCTTCCCACAAACCAGAGGATTGAATCAAAAAAAGCTTGCTTAAAAACTCTCTTCAAAGAATATTGAGATTTGAGAATTTGGCTGGAAAATCATGTCAAGTTCTCACCATCTTTCAGATAGCAGAAGAGTCGGCAAGCCACCGGCGCCGGAGAAGTCCAACTTTGTGCACACATGCAACCTTTTGAGTCGGTATATTAAGAAGAAAGGGAGTCTCAGAAATTTGAATATTGAAATTGGTGGAATGGTGGAGAGCCTCGAATCCATAAGTATAATTTCATCTTTCCTTGATATTGGTGTGAAGTTGTTTGATATATTTCCTGAAAGACACTCGAACTTGTAGATCTGCTGAAATGAAAAGAATTTATCATCTTGTGTTTAGCAGCGATGATTTTAATTATTATTTCACCCTTATGCTGGCTAGGAAGATTATCGATTAGAAGTTTGGGCTAAATCTTTTTGCTTTTTTCAGTGAGGCCCGGATCATCGCAACTTACACCCATTAATATAGAAGATGCTTTGAGTGAATCAGTTACAAGGTTTGTTTCCTTTTTCATATCTATTTCTGCATAATTTCTACAAACTGTAGACCCACCCTATATTTCTTTCCTGATTTCAGCAAAGATGCAATAATGGAGCCTGACAATGCTCCATTGACAATGTTTTATGCGGGTAGAGTTCTTGTATTTGATGATTATCCGGCTGAAAAAGCCAGGGAACTGGTGCAGTTGGCTAGCAACATAAACTCCAATATGGCTACTGGCAAAGAAAAAGTCATTCCTGACGTTGGTGTGGCCTCTAGCTCTGCTGCACAAGAATGGCGTCCACCACCACCCCAAGCTAACGGTTCTGTTGAGGCTGGTGGCATTTTGTCGAATACCTTTAATGAGAAAATTAATACTGGTGGTTCTAGCTCTGGCGCACAAGAATGGCTTTTGCGACAGCCTCGTTCTATTGGTTCTCGCAAGGCTAATGACATATTTTCGAACCTTGTCAAAGAAAAAGTGGTTGATGGTGCTGCGGCATCTAGCTCCGGTGCACGAGAATGGGTTGCACCGGAACCTGAAGCTAATGGTTCTCGCAAGGCTAGTGGCCTTTTCTCGTACCCCATCATGGAGAAAACGAATACAGGCGGTGCAGTGATGTCTACCCCTGGTGTGCAAGAATGGCTTCCACCACTGTGGGAAACGAATAGTTCTTGCAAGGATAGTGGTGTTCTGTCAGAACCTGTAAAAGTGAAATTGAATCCTGGTGGTGCTGTGGCATCTGACTCTGGTGTGCGAGATTGGCTCTCTCCACAGCCTGAAGAAAAAAGTTCTCGCTTGGCCGTTGGCACATTGTCGAACTCTGTGGAAGAGAAAACAAACCCTGGTGGTGTTATGGCCTCATTATCTAAAGCACAGAGCATGATTCCACCACAAACCGAAGCTAATGGTTCTGGTAATTACCTTTGCCTTCTAATGAAATTATGATTATCCAATGAAAAGTTAGCAAGAAATATCATTTTACTTATAAGGTACTAATCGAATCTTCTATGCTTCAGATTTGCCAATTGCAAGGAGATCATCACTTCATCGATTCCTGGAGAAGAGGAAAGATAGGTATGCAGCTTCTTGAATGAACTATGATTTGGAAAAGGAAAAAAAAAATGAATTATAGGCATATCTGACTTTGTTTCAACTTTCGATTTCTGTTGATACAGAGCTGTTGCCAGGGGGCCTTATCAAATTCAAGAACAGCCAGCATCTTCTTCCAAGAGTGATGAACAGCTTGAGCTCAAATTATAGGCTTATTGCCATTTTTGTCTTTAGGAATTAGAGAAGTTTTCTTGAATCAATATTGTATACATCAATTAGACGATTCTTGGTAGGGTTTGGCATATAGATTTGTTTTATTAGATTCAAGTGTTGTTGTGTTGTGACTTCTAAATTATTATACAAAATAGTGGGGTCTTTTTCTTCTTAGTACGCAGCCTTAAGCTAGTGGGTTCTGGTGGCGGACTTTAAAGGTGGCTGAGGGTTGGTGGCGGATTTTAAAGGCGGCCAAGGGTTGGTGGCGGAATTTAAACGTGTCTGATGGGTATAGATGAGATGAACTTGATCTGGCAAAGTCAAATAAAGTAAAGAGTCAAGGGTCTACTGTGATTGAAGTAATACTGAAAATGAGATTGTTTAATTCAAGTTCTAATAGCAAAGATTCCAATTTTTTTTAGAGGGTAAGGGTGAAAAAATAAATAAATATAAAACTAAAAATAGAAAGTAATTAACTCAATAAATAATAGAGGTAGTCAATTAGCAGAGACTAGTCTGAATTTTTCCATTATAATTGCTAAGTTGGGCCAAACAAAGTTGCTGCGTGTTTCAGTTCTCATCTCAATTCCAATCTCGATAGTTGCCACTTAAAAATTATGCTTAATTTGTGAACCATATAATATTTTGATCTTAATATTTGTAAAGTACGCCTCATCTGGAGGCAGGCTTTTACTGACTGACATAGGATACTTTTTGTCTTCCTATTCCCAAACAGTGTCCACATCTTGAGAGGGACGCCCTTATATGTGTCACTGGATTTTTATTTTTTTATTTTTGCGAATTTGTGTTTAAAAAGTTATGAAGAAATGGGAAAAATATTTTTTTTTAAGATAATTTTTAGTCGAAAGTGAGTGTAAGAGAAAGTAATTCTAAAAAAGAGAGGTCTCTATCTTATGGAGTTTTACTATTTGTACAATATGATTTACACGTCGATGTACACCCCCTCGCAATAAAAGGCAACCCACGACCAATAAAAAAATTCGCAAGTCCCCTATTATGAGGGGGCTATACATCAGGGTCTCAATCCTGATGGACATATAGCAAAATCAATAGCTTCGTATTTTGCCACAATGATCCTTATCATGAAAATATTGGAAGTATTGAGTTTGGATGATCAATTTTCACCTTCATTCATTTAATCATGATAAAAACACATTTTAAAATAAAGAGAGTTAAAATTAAAAAAAAGGATGAGCTGCATCATTGACGGCCTCCACCTGCCCTGCTCTAGACCTTTGTGAAGGAAGTAAATCGCAGGTTATGCCTCAAAGGGTACATGGTGGACGGCTATTTGTACACTTATACTTACTCAATGGCCAAATCCATATTTCAGGATTCAAACCATTGATGCGACACTTCAAGTAAAGTTAGAGTTTTTCCATCTTCTCCTTTTACGACTTGGAGATGTGCCCTGAGGGCATAGAGAGAGTTAAAATTTCTCGTACTAATCATGGTCCAAGTTCAATTCAAATGAAACTTCATCACACTTTCTCTTAAACAATTATAATTGAAGAATTCAATATCAACAAATATTCTTCCATCAAGGAAAGAATATAAGGTTCCGTTCGATACACCATATTTTCCATTTCCCAATTTTTGTAGTGTTTTATAGGCAAATTTTTCTCGAAAAAATGTTTTCCAACTTTTCAAATTTTCCACACTTTTGAGGAAAAAAAATTCTTGATGCTTTGGTTGGTAAACATTTTCCAGGTTTCTTTTTTTGGCAATTAGAAAAAATTCTTGACACAATGGTAAAAAAATTTATCATGTTTATTAATAATTTTCATGTAAAACAAAACCAAACGAATGATATTCGGTATGGCAAATTTTTTTTTTTTCAATTTTTT